TTTACCTTATACCCCCAAATTCAACAAAGATGATAAAAGATGGGAATAGTCCATGTTGAGGGAGTTGGTAGAAAATAGGCACATTAATACATTGTTGGTGTAGCTATGAATCAGTTCCATCATTTTGGAAAGCAATTTGGAATTATGTCAAAAAAAAATGTCTAAAATGTTCATATCCCTTTGGTCCAGAGATTCCTTTACTAGTCTAGTCACTGATAAGAAGAAAATCCCCATATACACCAAAACATTTATAGCAAAACTTTTAGCAGTAACAAAAAACTAGAAACAAATAGATGCTCACTGCCTGAGGAATAGCCAAACAAATATTGTTACATAACTGTAATGGAATATTCCTATCAAAATGTGATGAATAGTGGAGCATGGAAAGGCCATGTAAACTGATAAAATAATGCAGAGAGGTAGAGCCAAGAAAACAAAATTCACAATACTGTAACAATAGAAATTACATAAAAACAACAACCATAAAACAATCAGAAGTGAATGTTTCAAAATTTCAGAGAACAAGCATTAGCACTAAAGAAGAGATATGAGAAGACAATCCTCCCCCAACTCCTTTGCAGAGGTAGAATGTCTATGGATACAAAATATTGCATATATTTTCAGATTTTCTAATATATTGATTAGTTTTGCTGATGTTTTTCTTTTACTTTTTTGTTACATATTATATTGAATGGCTCTCTGGAGGAAGTAGGCAGGGATACTGAGAGAAATATTGGCTATGTAGGGAAGAAAACAATAAAAATGTATTTTAAAAATTTAGTGATTATCATCATTTGCCAATTAACATGCCCAGTAGAGAGATTCTGCTGGGTGCCAATCTGTGTCTTAATAATCAAGCTCATGCTATGTCAATACATATTCTTTCCCCTGATCTCTTAAATTAAACTATTATGTCATGGTTACTAAATCTTTGCTTAGGACTGAAATATACAAAATAAAGAAAAGGGAATATTTGTCATTCTTTGGCAAAGCTTGGCAAAGGCATTTTTCATGAGGAAAAATAATTTTTGTGTTAACCAGTAGAAATTTAATGATGTTTACTTTTGTTTTTTAGGATTATAAAATCTAAAGTTATAAAGGACCTTAGACATCACTAAATGCAATTCCTTCATTTTAAAGATAATGTGTTTAGGGCTCAGAAAATAAAAAATATGCTTGTCCAAGGTCACACAGACATGAAGGAGTAGAACAGAAATTCAAACCCAAGTCATCTGATTCCAAATCTACTATTCTTTGTATTATCATGCAGTTGCCTCTTACCTGAAAGGGTTGTTTTTGTTTTTGTTTTGTTTTTACCCCCCTTTTTTGTTGTTGGTTGGCTATTTTTTTGATTCCTTCTTCTTGGGAAGAACAGGAATTATTCTTCTTGAGAAGAATAGGTTGAGAGCCTCAGAGGAAAAGATGCTGGGTCTCATTAACAGGTGAGTTCTGCTGCATTAGCTCTCTGAATTAGAAAATATATGCCTTCAATAAAGTTTTGTCCCATCTTAGGAGTGGTGTACCTAAAAGGTAGGTTTGTAGGATGAGGCTAAGGAGTGTGGGATTAGGAATACATGGCTAAATACATAGTTTAGTACCAAGTGGTAGGCTACCAAGAAGGGAGAACAAAAGGGGGTGAAAAAGGTGAAGGAGGGGAACTGATGCATTCATATGCACAGTACCTAGAACAGAATAGGAGGTTAAAGATAGTTGATTCAATAAAAATAATAAACATTTATTAAGACCTACTGTGCTAAATGCTGAGGACATAAAATAAGGCAAAAGACAATCCCTGCCACCACAAAAAGAGCTGCTATAAATATTTTTATACATGTGGGTCCTTTTCGCATTTTCTTGATCTCTTTGGTATATAGATCTAGAAGAGGTATTGCTGGGTCAAAGGGTATGTACAATTTTATAGCTGTTTGGGCATAGTTCCAAATAGTCCTCCAAAATGGTTGGATCATTTCACAACTCCACCAACAATGTATTAGTGTTCCAATTTTCTCACATCTTCTCCAACACTTATCATTGTCCTGTTTTGTCATGTTAGTCAATCTGATAGGAGTGATGTGGTACTTCAGAGTTGTTTTGATTTGCATTTCTCTAATCAATAGTGATTTAGAACATTTTTTCATATGACTGTAGATAGCTTTAGTTTCTTCCTCTGAAAATTGGCTGTTCATATCCTTTGATCATTTATCAATTGGGGAATAACTTATATTCTTATAAATTTGACTCAGTTCTTCATATATTTTAGAAATGAAGCCTGTATCAGAGATGCTGGTTGTAAAAATTCTTTCCCAATTTTCTGCTCCCCTCCTAATCTTGGATGCATTGGTTTTATTTGTGCAAAAACTTTTCAATTTAATGTAATAAATATTATCAATTTTGCATTTCGTAACATTCTTGTTTGGTCATAAATTCTTCCCTTCTCCATAGATCTGATAGGTAAACTATTCCTTTCTCTTCTACTTTGCTTATACTATCAGTCTTGTTATCTAAATCATGTACCTATTTTGACTTTATCTTGGTATAGGGTGTAAGATATTGGTCTATGCAACATTTACATGCATCTTGATGGCCAAGAATTGGAAACTGAGGGGATGCCCATCAATTGGGGAATGACTGAACAAGTTGTGGTATATGAATGTAATGGAATACGATTGTGCTATAAGAAATGATGAGCAGGCAGACTTAAAAAAAACCTGGAAAGATTTACATGAACTGATGCAGAGTGAAATGAGAAGAACCAGAAAAATATTGTACACAGTAACAGTCACATTGCGGGATGACTGACTTTGATAGACCTGGCTCTTCACAGCAATGCAAGAATCTAAGACAACTGCAAAAGACTCATGATGGAAATTGCTATCCACACCCAGAGAAAGAACTATGGAGTCTGAATGCAGATGGAAGCATACTATTTGCTCTCCTTTTCCTTTGTTGTTTTGTTTTATTGCTTCATTCTCATAGTTCCTTCCATTAGTTCTAATTGTTCTTCACATCATGACTAATGGAAAAATATGCTTAAAATGAATACATATTTTAGAGCCAGTATCAGATTGTATGCCATCTTGTATGGCATCACAGTAATGCCTCTGTGATTTTGGTCGAGAGTAGTATATCAGAATACCTGGTCTCAAATTCTGCCTCCAAAGTAATCTGATCCCTCTGAATTTCAGTTTTTTTCAACTACATAAATGAGAGATGGGACTAGAAAATTTAAAACTCAAAATCTTACAGAAGTAGATGTTGAAAACTAAAAATAAATTTATTAATTATAAAAAAAGGCAGTCCCTGCCCTTAAGGAGCTTACAATCTAATGGAATTGAGGACCCAACTTGATTTTTATTTTATGTTACAGGCAGAAATTTTTTAGGCCATAAGTGAAACTTAAGAAATGCTATTTGTTGACTGAAAATTAAAATTTTTTGTAGTTTTATTTTTAATTATCCCTTATTTTCTTTCTTTCCCATCCCCCAATGAAAAAAATAAACCCTTTTTTTTGTAGTGATAATTGCAAATTAACAGAGCTCCAGTGATTATGTTGTGCAGGGTTACTTGGAAAGTATTTTCTCATATGGGGCAAAAAGGCCAATTAGGGTGGCCTGTCTCTTTTAATCTGCCTCTAGTTTAATGTATATTGGACTACTCCCAGGAAGCCTAAGCCTTACAAGTATAACTTTATATGAAAGAAGTAATTAATAATTAAGTGCTATGTACTACTAGTTGCACCGAAATGCATACTGTATGCAAATGTGGTGTTTTATGAAACCCACTATGCTAACTGCAGAACTTAGGGAAGAATTATAATGTTTATTAATATACATTATAAGCATTTGCTCTCCCCTTGAAAGTATTTTCTTGAAATGGACAGAGAAAAGATCCCAGAGGTGAGAAATAATTCCCAAGCTCTACTTTCTACAACCTTGTTGTCCATTTAAAGGTCCTGAGATTAAAGAAACTCCCCTCTACCCGTCCTGCTAAGGGCAGGGTTAACTTATCTTCCAGAGAAGGAAGGGATATCAGAGAAGATCTAGTCCCATCTCTCATTTATGTAGTTGAAAAAAACTGAAGTTCAGAGGGATCAGATTACTTTGGAGGCAGAATTTGAGACTAGGTTTTCTGATATACTACTCTTGGCCAAAATCACAGAGGCATTACTGTGAACAATAACAAGTTTCTTGTTTTCTCTGTAATGTAAGCAAGTTATAATGAGAAAGGAAAATATTTTTCCCTTAAAAGATACATAACGTTTAGAAGTGGTTTGGATATGTAGGCATTTCCTTGAATACATATGGGTACATTACTAGTAATTGGTATCATTCATCTAAAGCAGACCCACCCAACTTGGCAGTAGATAGGGGCCAAAATCAAAATTGACTAAATTTCTTCAGGCTGCAGATAGGTTTTTAGCAGCTTGCTTTCCAAGTAAAGATAACTAGACACAGACTGACAATGGTTGGTTGCCACAGGTCACATGACAAACAGGAAAGACTGCACAGTGGCAATCTTCTGGTGGACCGCAAGTGGCCTGCACACAGCATGTTGTGTAGGCCTGATCTAAAGAATGTTTTTTCAATTAAAAAAAAAAAAAAGACAAACTGGCCTCAGCAGATCATCTGTACACCACATCCTTTGTGTTAGACGATGATGTTAATCAAGGTAGTCTTTAACTTGAACACTGACTGTCATTTGCCTCCTGAATATTAGAACAAGAGATCTTGTAAAGCTCATTCCAAATAAACAAAACAGCATCACCAAGTGAGGAATTTTAAATGACTAGTTGTGATATATTGGGATGATGTGACTTTTTCCTCCTAACAGACAAATCAGAACCCAGAACACCATGTCAGGATTTTTTGGTCAACTCTGAAAATGTGTCTGTACTTTGTGGGACAATGATCTTTTCTCATGATTTGCTACGTATGACTTTTAAGTGACAGCTGTATGAAAACTTATTCAACTGAGACCATACTGATCAATGATTTGCTTACCTGGTCGACTTTGCTTTTTAGAATTCACATGATTAGCTGCAGACACAGTATAGGAAGTAGAGAAGGACCTGCTTTTGGTCATGGTCCAAGAATCAGGACTAACAGCACTGTTTTAAAAAAAAGAATATAAAAAGAGACATCATTAAATACTTTTTGATGCAGACTTCCTTTTGGAATTAGACTATGATTCACCCAATGGACTGGCTTATAAGTAAGTCTGGATACAAGTTGCTGACAGAAACATTTTGCATCAGCACCCTCATATACAAATGTTTGCAAGTTCAACTTCTATTTTAGGAACCAGAGTACAGTCGTAAAAACACATGTGCATTGAATTTTTTAAGCAGGAAAGATATTTAATGGATAAATATTTTCTCTGAAGATTAGGAAATTTTAAAATCTCTCTTTCCATCATCTCAATAATCATATCCTTCAAAGAATACCAGAAAGAAATACATTTGAAAAGGATAACACTGTCTTGTCATAGAACAGCTTGTCACTGACCAATTCATATTAGTTCTCAATTTCCAAATACCTTTTGGTCATCTTTGTTAAACTGACTTCTGATGGGACTTTTTTTTTAACATTGTAAAATACTCAATACTTTATTAAAATATTGTGCTTACTAGTTTATTCAAAATAGTACATATAATGATTTGAAAATTTATGAATTGCAGGAGATAATCTCTAATCTATCCTTTAAATTTTCAGGGGTATTATTCAATTTTAAGCTATGTACTTATTTTCCTCTGAAAAAAAGTAACATTATTAGTAATAGTGGTACAGTTTTGGTAAAACTAAAAAGAACCAACAGTACAAGACAGAAACATATATAACACCTAATGAAAGTATCAAAAACAGTTATAGAATGAGATAATAGTATAAATGTTGAGCTGGAAGGTATTTTAAAGAGTAGGTAGTCCAATTCTCTCATCTTACAAGTGAGAACTAAAGTTTAGTGACTTCCTCAAGATGATACAGAGAGTAAATGGCAGAGCCAGGATTTAAACTCAGGTGCTTTGACCCGACCAAATCTAGGCTCCTTTCCACTGTGTCATCCTATCAGAGAAACATCTAGAGTTGGTGTTGTTTAACTTGTCTTCTGTAAGTCTAGTATTAGGCTTTTTGCTTATGCTTGGAATTTGGGTATCAAACAGAATCAGAAACTCTTTTGAAATGAGGATAACTATTCCAAATATGTCCTTACAACATTCTCTTTTGTCATTTCATTTTTTTCTATCACTTGGCTAAAATTTATTGCGAGGAAAGTCCATCTAATTTATAGTTGAGCAGATCTTGTTCTCTTCATAAATCTAGGTATGCCTTATAGATAACCTTAGATGTTAGTTTTGACCATAGCTTTTGCTGCTATGAGAGGACCACAGTTTTGTTAACAGAATTCTTTTGAATTTCAGAAACACAAATGATAGAGGTAAATTCTAAAACCTAAAATGACTTCTCCCCCTTCAAATTTACATAATTCAAGGTATTTAAAATGTGGGTTTGCTTTTAAAAAATTGGCTCTGGAGTAAGAGCAACAAAAAAAAGCACATTTATAAAATATCTTATCTGAAATGAGAGCATAGCAGAAAAAGTGATGGACCTGAAATCAAATCCCAACCATGACACTTGGTGTGTGACTAAGGGTACACCACTTGACCTTTCTGAGTTACAGCTGCCTCACCTGTAAAATAGAGATAATAATGAATATATACTTAACAGGGTTGTTGTGAAGATCAAACATGATGATCTATATAAAGTGTTTTGCAATCCTTAAAGTACTATTTAGATATCAGCCATTGATTGAAATTGTTTTTTATTGTTATTTTTGCCACTCTTATATTTGATAGACTAATGTTTTCAGGAAACATTAAAGTTTAGACATACAATGCCGTCTCTTTACTCCCCAGGGACTATTTTTTCTAGGTTATAAATTATCTATGACCTTAGATTCTCTTTCTTTTGGCAAATTCATCTGTCAGAAGTTCCCTACTGAATTTACGCTTCTTGAGGGGAGGGACTATTTCTTACTTATTTTTGTGTCTCCAGGGTATAACACACTGTCTGTTACATAGTAGCCAATTAATAAGTATTTGATCAAAGCTTCAAAAGGGGATAGTTGTGGGAAAAGGTGAAGAAACAAATCAAATTTGGTAGGGGAAGAGATTGAAGATTAAAGAGACTGAATAAAATTAGGTTTAGAGGCTATTTTCCTAATACTAAAAATATTTAACAGGTAACTATAAAGTATTTTAATTAATAGTAACAATTTCACCATGTGTTTATGTACAGTCTATCTTTAAAGAGTTTAATTTTTTCTCCAAAAAATGTTTTATCTTTGCTTCATTACTATGAGATAGAGATTTGTCAAAGGGACAGAAGGGGGCAGTGTAGCATATGGAAAAGACCCCAAATTCTGAGTCACTGGACCTGTATTCATAAAGCAATTCACTGCTCTGCTGCTTATTCTTGGACCTTGGACAAATCACTAGAAACTTTTTTTTTAAGTTTAAACTTTTTTTTTTGGTTTCCTCATCTGGAAAATGAAAAGGTTTGCACTAGATTTCCTATGATGTCCTTTCCAAATCTAAATCTATAATCCTATATAATATAGAGATAGAAACTGCACCTGTAATTTTATTGGTTTAAAGAATGCTTTAATTAAGGAAATTCTCCCTATCCATGCAAGTCAGCCCACTTTCTGCTACTTATAGTCTTAGAGAGTTTCCTAAAGTATTTAGACATTTGCCCAGGCTGACACATTCAGTGTCTATCAGAAACAGAATCCAAGCCTTATTTTATCTACTACATGATGCTGGCCTTTCTATATGATGGCAAAATGGCATAGCCAAATGAGGAAGCAATATATATGCACACACATGAATAAGTACTATCTACCCTGCCCCTGACATTAAAAAGAAACTTTCAAATTTTTCTGGCACTCTAATATTTAATATTCTTAGAAGAAAAGTAAAAGTAGTGAATCACATTCCATTTCTTGTCTCTTTTAGAACATTAGCAAATGAATATTTCTAGATAAGGCCCTTGCAAGAAAGATTTATGTAGTACCATGAAATTCTCTTCCTTTCCCAGACTGACACCTTAAATCTAAACTTGCTTTACTTTTTGTGAGGTACCTAAAAGCCCAGGAGACTTGCTGGCCACTTACAAATAATAAAGGCAGGAATGTGAGCTAGAGCTTGGAGGACAGTTGTTGTGACCTTATCAATTAGCTTTTGCTCTGGCTCAAATTTATTTTCAAGACAAATCATAAAGGATCCAGGAAATTTCTAATCTTAAGGAGATAATGGTAGCCCCCTTAGCTGGGTATGGAGATAAATAGTTTAAAACTAAAATGCAGTTAGATTACTCTTTTCAGGGAGAGAGAGGCCTTTTAGTGACCAAAATCTAGTGGACCAAAGTTGAAGGTAGCCATCAGGTAATAATAACTAACATTTATATAGTGTTTACTATGTGCCAAGCATGATGCTAACTACTTTTCAATTATTATCTCATTTGGGCCTCACAAGAACCCTGGGAGGTAGGTGTTGTTATTATCTCCACTTTACAGATATGTAAATAAAGGCAAACAAAGGTTAAGTGACTTGTCCAGGTCCCACAGGTAATAGGTATCTGAAGCCAGATTTGAACTCAGGTCTTCCTGAATCTAGGCCCATGTTCTATCTACTACACCACCTAGGTAGACCTGAAGACTCCACCTGAAGCCCAAAATCTAGTAAAAGAGAAAAAATCTTTTAAGATGATCAGCAGAGCAATGCTTTGCAGAAGCTATTCATGGGAGGCCCATGAGAAGGGAAGGTGTAGCAGAAGTGTGAAGATGTTAGAGAAGACATGAGAGTTGTATGACCAATAATGTGAAATACCCCCTCCATATATATGCCTTGGCTACACACTTTCTGTGTTTCCCTTCCATGAATTTCTCCTGGTCATGTGTTTCTTACATGTGTGGGCTTTCAGAAGTACTCTCTAGATGTGAGAATAATCCAGGTTCATGGATATATTATGTTATCACTTTTCTTAATATGTGTTAATGCACTAAAAAGTCTTTACTTGAACCAATTGTACCCATTGGTCGATTCATAAAATTAAAACATATTAGTAGGGGCTAAAGAATTTATTATGTTTGTTTTTTAATGGACAAAGGTCTACAGAATATCTTGATCATTAGGAACTTAAGAAGCTGATATTAGAAGAGCAAGGTGTACTATGTATAATGAAAATGTTTCTGAGAATATTAGCTATAATTATCCAGCAGTTCTATTTACATAAGAGCATAAAGGGAAAAGATACACTTAAATTTTCAAGTTAAATATTAAAGACTTGGTATTTCAACCTTCAGGAAACATATCACTACAATCAAGCCCTCTCTACAGGTCCTTTTGAATCTATTCCCTTCTGTCTTCTTCAGTAGCCTTCTTTCCACAATTGTCCCTACTTTCCCTCTAATCTTCCACTTCTCACTATCTACTGGTTCTTTCCATACTGACTATAAACACACCCAAGTCTCCTCCCATCCTTGAAATTTTTTTTTATAAAAGTCACTAGATATTATCATTCCTTCTAGTTAGCCTTTTTTGGGGGGGGGGGAGAATATTTTGTCCCTTTCTCAGCCCAGTTCCTTGAAAAAGCCATCTCTGCTTGGTGCCTCAATATTTTTACTCAAAACAAAGAATCATCAAAACTGAAGATGATTTGTATGAAATTTTGAAAATTTGCCCAGGGTTCCACATTATGAACTTCCTACCAGACATTTTAACCCAGATTTTTGAAAGTTATCTCAAAATAGAGTCCATTATCTTTCTACCTCCCACCCACTGCCTGAACCTACCCTTCTTCTAATTTCCGCTGTTATTGTTTAAGTCACCATCATTCTTTCATTCACCAAGGTTCACAACTTCAGGGTAGTCCTCTGCTCCTCAACCCTGCTCACCTCAAGATGGAAGAATAGGTCAGAAAACTTTTGGCTCTTCAAATTTCCGCCACAAAAAATGACAGAACATCACTTTGGAGCAGCAGAAATAAACATGGGGCAAAGCAGATGCCCTTCCATGACAATTTGAGAAGACCTCAAGAAAGACCCAACCTC